CTCGATCAGCACAATAAGGCATCATTGGATGAAGGAATAACTTGAGACTTTCGAGCAGGAGTGGAGCCCATGCAAGGCCTGTGAGAGCACATGCCCTCACTGGACCTTGGCCATACCCTCACTGGGATGGGGCAGAAATGCCCAGCAGGTTGGCCTGCCTGCCTATTATACTTAAAAATAATAATAGTTAATTTTAACATCAAATTCTATAATTCAGTGCTCCCCCAAGCCTAATTGGGAGTTCCAACGCTACATACACAATGAGTCCATCACTGCAAATCTTTGCAACTTGGATCAATAAATCTTTACATAAAGCAATGCTTAAGCAAACTTAATTGGGTACTATTTACATGTAATCAGGTACTAAGGCATTTTTCCTTCATGAGGTGGGGCGTAAGTCTTGAGGCATTTTGAAATGTAAACCTCTCCGCAAAAAAAATAAATAAATAAATAAAAGTCAAAAAAAAAAAAATTAAAGGTTTTGTAAGGCGTGTCTCATACAACCGGGGCATACACCTCCAAAAATTGTTTCACAATCAACATCTTGAGACCTTTTTACATACCTCAATTTGAGGCTGACCTTAGAGTATTTGAAAGAGACTCTTTAAACATGAGATGCTCTCTATTTGAAAGAGTCAACATTTAAAATCATACTCCAATAGACTCTTTAAATTAACATTTTAATTTAGAGAGAGAGAGTCAAACTCACTCTCTATAAATGCATTCAAAAAGTATCAATTTACAAAGTAGGAAAACAATAAAATAATCTAAAAAAAAACTAGTCAAAATAAAAGATAAAACAANAATAAAATAATCTAAAAAAAAACTAGTTAAAATAAAAGATAAAACAAAAATAATAAATATTTTTTTGGAAGTAGTAAAATTAAGTGTTAAATATAAAGAATTTGTTGGAGTACTTCAAAATTTTAATTTTCTAAATTTATAGATACTCTCCAAATGATAGAATATGCTCTTTAAAAATAGAGAGGCTATTGGAGAGGCTCTTAAGGCGAGTTTGAATTGGTTTTTATTAAACCATGGCCTAACAAATTACTAAGTGCCGCTATTCTCAAAGTATTGAATCGTACAAGTGTCATTACAATTACCCATAGGTCCTGAATTGAAACTCAATTGTAATATCAAAGGAAACTTTGAAATGAATGGATTTATTTAAGTTCTCAACTAAAAAGAAAAGAGGGACAACTTTAAAAAGAATCGGCTAATATTTAAGTTTGACTAGATAGACATGTCCACATGCAACGCGGTCTAACAGACTAAGTAGATGCTCCAATTATGAATTCTATGGTTCGAATTTTATAATCATACTTCTCTTTAGGTTTCAATATCAAAATCCCATCAAATTATTTTTAAGTCCTTCCCTAGATTGCCTTTAGCCATTTAAATCTCAAGTTCTATGTCCTTGGTCCACATGCCACAAAAACTATTAACTTAACTATAGTTTTTAAAATGAATTTTTGAGTCCTTGTTTAATGTAGAATTTAGTCGGAAAATGATGTATTCATAATGTTCAGTACACATTTTTGTAGATTGGTAATGAAATCATCATACAATGATCTCAATGTATGAAATCTTAAAAAGAACAATGGTAAGGTAATGAATAAATTATGTCATCTTGAACAGTTGTGATATTACATCTTTCGAAATTTTTACCTTTATTAAGTCACACCCTCACTCGAATAATTTCTTGGCTCCGCCCTCACTTTCGAGAACTAGAGCATGTTTGGCTACACTTAAAATCCAATTAAAATTGAAAATATAGCTGTTATTGGGTCTCACTCGTCTAATAAAACTCAACAATAACGGCTAATTTTTCAATTTTAATCTTATTTTAATCTCTACCAAACACACCCCTAATACAGTTTGCCTATAGTGAAAGGCATGTCTACCAAAAATCTAGGGTTACATGGTTGAAAGAAGGGGACAAATGTACCAAGTTCTTTCATAAGATTACGAATTCGAACGGGCGTAATAATTCTATCTCGCTGCTGGAGGTAGATGGTAATACTTATGAGGACCCACGGGTTATTGGAAACAAAATGGTGAGTTTCTATCAAAATCTCTATCGGGAATAGTTTGGGTGGAGGCCTGAGTTGGAGGGACATCCCTACTATCACGGAGGAGGATGCTAG